TGTTCCTTCCCCGGCACCTCTGTTTGCATTTTGCCCCAACCGGCCTAGCTCCACAGCAGCCTCGCAGCTGTGGCCCGTGCTTGGGGAGCTCAAGGCAACCTGGGATTACGGAACCGTCTTCCATTACCATCTCCAATCCACCCCAGCATTACCATCTTGACGACCATACCTCCCACTCGAGAACCTCACGAATTTACGCAAAAGTCCTGCCTTGATCTCTGAACTTCCAGACCTCAATCCACAAGAATTTCCGGCAGCAGGACGCCCAGTCCTCATTCTGCATCATGGTATTGATGACCCTTGCGTGTGCATCCCGGTGACAGATGCTAACCAGTCAATTAGCCTTCCGCTACCGGCCAGAACTGGGAGAAGTACCAGAAGACCTACGCAGACGACGAGATCGAGGAGAAGAAGATCACGCCACTGACCGATGAGTGCGCATTTCCGAAAGCTTCGTAATCCGTATCACGTCGACTAACGATACCCAGAGATATCCAAGTGCTCAAGACCTATGGCGCTGCGCCCTACGGTGCCGCCATCAAGAAGCTCGAGCAACAGATCAAGGAGAAGCAAACAAGTGTAGATGAGAAGATTGGTGTCAAGGTAGCTCTCTTATTTTGCTGGCAAATTGGTCAATGACTGACTCGGCCAGGAATCCGACACGGGTCTTGCCCCTCCTCATCTCTGGGACGTTGCCGCCGATCGTCAACGAATGTCAGAAGAACAACCGCTCCAGGTCGCCCGGTGTACGAAGATCATTCCCGACGAGAAGGACGACTCCAAGAGCAAATATGTCATTAACGTCAAGCAAATTGCGAAGTTCGTCGTCCAGCTCGGCGAGAGAGTGTCTCCGACGGATATCGAGGAGGGAATGCGAGTCGGTGTTGACAGAAACAAGTACCAGATCCTTCTTCCTCTTCCTCCCAAGATCGACGCCAGCGTTACGATGATGACGGTCGAGGAGAAGCCCGATGTGACATACGGAGATGTTGGTGGATCAAAGGAGCAGGTTGAGAAGCTGCGTGAGGTCGTCGAGATGCCCCTCCTGTCGCCGGAACGCTTCGTCAACCTCGGCATCGATCCCCCGAAGGGTGCCCTGCTGTACGGACCTCCCGGAACGGGAAAGACTCTCTGCGCGCGTGCCGTCGCCAACAGAACGGATGCTACGTTCATCCGTGTCATTGGTTCTGAGTTGGTCCAGAAGTACGTCGGTGAGGGTGCGAGAATGGTCCGTGAGCTGTTCGAGATGGCGCGGACGAAGAAGGCCTGCATCATTTTCTTCGACGAAATCGATGCCATTGGTGGTGCTCGTTTCGATGATGGTGCTGGTGGAGACAACGAGGTCCAGAGAACTATGCTGGAGCTGATTACGCAGCTTGATGGTTTCGACGCTCGTGGTAACATCAAGGTCATGTTCGCTACGAACAGACCCTCTACCCTCGACCCTGCGCTTATGAGACCCGGTCGTATTGATCGTAAGATCGAATTCTCCCTCCCAGACCTCGAGGGTCGCGCCAACATCTTGCGCATTCACGCGAAGAGTATGTCAGTCGAGCGCGATATCAGATGGGAGCTTATTTCCCGTCTTTGCCCCAATGCGACGGGTGCCGAGCTTCGTAGTGTGTGCACAGAAGCTGGTATGTTCGCCATTCGTGCCCGCAGAAAGGTGGCTACGGAGAAGGACTTCCTCAGCGCCGTCGACAAGGTCATCAAGGCCAACCTCAAGTTCAACTCTACGGCCAGCTACATGCAATACAACTAAGGAAATCAAGCGGAAGAGGCACGGAGTTGATTCAATTGTTTCAGGCTGTAAGAATAGGCTTGGGGTTAGGGAAGGTCTAGAGGGCGGGATACCTTGCTCGAGAGAAATAGATCATGCTTTTCCATGCGCCAATATGACGATGTCGCCTCAACAGTGACGTTGAGAAATGTGAGACTGGACTTGGTGGGCGTATTGATCAGTCGCAGCGCCGATGGGTAGTATTCAGCAGCGTCCCACCAGACTCCTATGGAGGCAAAGCCTTACTCGGAGCCAAAAACGCAACTTGAAGGACTTGCTTAATATTTCCAGCATCTGCACGTCGAAGCCGAGAGAGGGGCCCTACTGCTGGCCTCATCTACGTTTCTTCCGGCAGACATTGAGACGATGAAGCAAGCTGGCGCCTGTAGGCATTCGTCCTGGCATACTCGTTTGGCCTTGCTTGCGCATGAAAACATGGACGATATAGGCATCCTCGTTCTAACATCTTCGAAATGACAAGTATCCTATAGCCTTCAGAGTAGTTTCTGAATGAGGCACCACATGATGCTGGCATGTTTGACGCGCAAGGCTCGTTGACAACACCTCAAAGATTGGAGATCAAATTATAGGTCAGACATGCAGACCCGCTGTCTCTTACTCGATTGTGATATTGATTTGTAGAATTACATTTACCAATGGGGCTCTATAGCCTTCCATTCTATGCATAGAGCCTTGCTGTTCACTGGCCCCTTTCCCATGCCTGATGTTGGCTCCTCCACTACAGTAAAATCCCATCATGCTGCCTCAGCGGTGCCCAAAAAGTTTCCAATGCCAAGTTATGATAATGCATGCCTTCATTAGCAGCGCCTCGCACTCACCAGTGCGCCAGTCCGGTGCGACCACCGCTGTTGTTACGTCCCTCCTCATAAGAAACCTGTTGGAATCATGTGAACATGAATAGAATCCTCCGCAGTCTCCCCATTGCAGCTTTCGAGGAACGGCACCTCGCTTTTAAACAGATTCCATCCGTGACAGACAACCCAGACAAGCGACGTCACCCTCGGCGCCCTTCTCTATACAGCACCGACTGCAGACCATGGTCCTGTGCCCGCCGCCCGTCCAGCCGTCATGTCGTTTCTCCTGTCCATTTCGAGTCTCTCTCTCGTTTCTCTGTCGTTGTCGTGTGTCGTCAATGTCGTCCATGTGGAATGACCTCGACATATCCTCCTGCTCAACTTCGTCGCCATCACTAGGCCGGCCGTCCTTCTTCCAGCCTTGGCATTGTCTGATGCACACGTAGCACGTCCGTTGACCACAACCCTCGCAGTCCGCAAAGGAGTCCAGGTCTGACTTCTTGGTTGGCCGTCGATGGCAGATGTGGCACGGGCTTAGAGAGGAAGCCGGGGTTCTTGACTTGCTGGCCGTGTCGGCCTGGTCCTGGGGCCCGCGGGCAGCTTGTTGAGGTGGGGGCGACTTGCTCCGTCGTTGCCTATGCGATGATGTTGCTGTGTCCCATGCACCCGTCTCGGCGCTGTCGTCTTCCTCGTCGAACATGCGTTGTCTTTTGGAACCAGGCAGCGGCGCTATCTTTCTAGGAACGGCGTCAAGGCTGTGGTATTGTTGGTCGCCGAGGCCGCCGTGTTGGAAGACGATTCCATTACTGGGCAATTGGGGGGAGAAGTCTGGATGCTGCTGCTGCAGTTGTTGCTGTTGCAGCTGCTGCTGAATGGGCCTGCCAAAAGGGCCGTCAGCTTTCCAGTTCGTCGAGGCGATGGCCGAGTACTGGGCGAGTTTCTCGTACAAAGGCCCCTGTATCTGCAGGTCGGTTTCGTTGTCTCGTCTTCGCTTTCGGCCTGGCAGCATCAGCCGAGGATGCTCCTCGGCGATGGACGGCATTTGGTGTGGTTTTGGGTGGGTATCGGGTGTCGTTGAGATGGGAGGCGAACTGCAGAGGTGGTGGTATATCGCTCGCTCCTTGCACAGATTCGTGAATTCCAGATAAACTCCGCAGGAACGACGATGGAATATGGGGAGGGGATGGAGGAGAGAGAGACTTAGAAAGAAGACTTGGTTTGGAGATCTGAAGGAGGGGGGGAAGAAAAGAGGAGAGGCCGTTAGAAGAGGAGAGACAGAAAGTGTGATGATGGTGGAAAGGTGTGTCTGCCTCTCACTCAGCGCTCTCCTTGAGTCGGGTTGATTGCTCCTGCAGGTAGGTTCCGTTTTAGGTGGACATGCCGCCGTGCGTTTATGAGGGTGGACTGGCACGGCGCGGAGCTTTCACGCCTGATTTGCCTGTGTAGGGTGCCTCGGGTGGGTTCAGCCAGCGGGCGGCGCGGCAGCCAGATTCGCTCAAGAGGTGCGGGCTTGTGTTCCCACCACTGTCAGCAGACTCAACAGCGCTCCGTTTAGGTGCTCGGAAACCGCGCCGGCGGCTGGAAAATCTGCAGGTCGTTCTGTCCAGCGTTTTCCCAGCTCGCTCAACTGAGCAGGTGCTGTGCAGCTTTCACAGGTTGAGTGTTGTTGACGGCAAGTCGGGACTGACTGCGACCCACTGATTCGTCTATCGCACCCGCCAATTGACTCTAAAGGTACCTCATACAACCTACCTGCCTGACCACTGTTCCTCATCCAATGTGAGTTATTTGTACTTCGAATGTCCTCTCACACTCGTAAGTGCCGTGACCACACAGCATCTTGACATGCAATCCCTAGAACTTTCTACGAATTAGGGGTCTTGGAAGCAATTCGGACGAAACATGTCAAAGACCCGATAAGAAGTCATTTGTGAAGTTGCCTCCGATGTTGCATTTGACCCTTTGTGGGTTGACTCCGTCTCGGTCATGGATTCGCCGAGGTGACTCCAGGATGCATTGTTTGTTGGTGTCGTTGTCTGCTCAAAAGTTCTCTCTCTCTGCAATCATATATCATGACAGTTTGCAACGTGAAGGCATTGATTACCATCTTTGCGATTCCATGTGCCCAAGTCGTCTTTCTATTGTCGCTTGTGCGTGGTCGGCAAGATGATGAATGAGTAAATCACACAAGTCATTGTTAGGCACGTGAAAGAAGTAAGCGTAGACATAGAAGACTTGTCATTATCAAGAAATCAGGTATTGAAAAAGGACCATCTGATTTACACTCTATCGCTCCCCCGTTTGCTCCCAACGATGAATCTCGTCTCTGCCGCCTCCACGAACAAAGGAGCTGTTTTAGAGAGCCTAGTATAACATACACAGAGACAACCGAAAGTTTGCGTAATTTAGTGGCGAACCTTGGTCTCCTTGGGAGGGTCGTACGCGAGCTTCCTCGACTTAAGCCAAGCCCACTTGTACTTTTTAACCCAGACGCTGATAGCCCAGAGCGTGGCCGAAACGACAAGAACCTTCATACCCATGCGCTTGCGGTCATCCATCTCGGGCTCAGCGGCCCAGTTGAGGAACTCGACGACGTCCTTGGCCATCTGAGAGGTCGAAGCCGGGGTCTCGTCCTCGTACTCGACGAGGCCGTCGTAGAGGACACGGGCCATGGCGATACCGGTACCGGGGAAGTAGGGGTTGAAGTTCATGCCGGGGGCGACGACAGCGCCGGCGGGGGGCTCGTCGGGGTAACCAGTAAGCAAGCTGAAGATGTAGTTGCAGCCACCGTGGCGGGCCTTGATGATGAGAGACAGATCGGGGGGGAGGGCACCGTTGTTGGCAAAGCGGGCAGCCTCCTCGTTCTTGTATGGGTCGGGGATGTAGTCGGACAGCTTGCCGGGGCGCATCTCGATGTCGCCCTGCTCGTTGGGCTCACCAGGGTACTCGTTCTCCTCGGCCATCGCCTTGGCCTCGTCGACGGTCAGGACGGTACCGACCAGGGCACGGTAGGGAACACGGCTGAGGGAGTGGCAAGAGGCGCAGACCTCGCGGTAGACCTGGAAACCACGGCGGAGACTGCAATTGTGTGAGCGTCATTTACCAGGTATCGTGGGGGGATTGCTTACGCCTGGTGGTCGAAGGTCTTGAACCATTGCTCGTGAACCCAAGGGTAGTTGGTAGGGTGCAGACTGGTATCGAATGTCAGCTCGACATGCCTTTGTTTCGGTGCCTCCGGTGCATTTGTAGATTATGCCTCAACCCAGCAAGGGATCTCGGAATCCGAACAAATTGGCCCGCAGCAACCTTTCTCGGATGGGGAGAACTCACCCCTCCTCAGCGGGCGTGGCAGCGTTCGCCGAAGGTCCGTAGAGGTGGTAGTACCAGGCCATAGAGCCCAGGGCGAGAGACGTCGACGCAACGGCGGAGATGTTCAATCGGGAGTGGGAAGCTTCGGCACCAGCGCCGGTGGAAGTGGACGCCGCACGCTGCGTGGATCACTGTCAGTGTTCGGTCCCAAAGTCATTGATATCTCTCGATGGCCACTGAGGCGGTTCCGGGGGTGTCGTGTGGCGGTAGGTCGGATTGCCTCGGGAAATTGGCTTCTTGATCAGCTCATGTGCGTACCTTGGAAATGGTGACGGCGCCATTTGTGAAGGTGCGCGCCGAGCGCAAGCAGGACCTTGCCAACATGATGGGCGAGCTGTATCCGCAGCTACAGAGACAGCCGCGAACAAAATGATGGGGCAATGGGTGGTAGGTCCTCTCGTGACGGAGGTCGTTTCTACGGTACAGTAGTCGAGGCAGGAGAAAATCGCTGTGAGGCAGTTTTCGAGTGCCTTAGGTATGGGACGTCTCTGATTGGCTAATGGCTTCGGTCAGCAACATGTTCCGGTCCGGTCGTTTTTCGCTTGATTCCTCCCACCCGGTGTTGCCCGTCGACCAGAAGTATTTCCGATCGCCCGTCGCACCCAGCGCCGTCGTGTCGTCATGCACCGACCTGAGAAATATGCCTCGCTTGATTGGCCTGAACCCATGCAGCCAGCCAACTTGACCTGCATCACGATACAACATTGGACGAACATTCTTTCCTTTTTGACGATCACTGTAAGTATGCAAAAGACAGAAACCAGCAGCGTTTCGCGTTTTTGGCTGTTCCATGGCCAATTTCGATTTACCACCTAGCACACGCAATATTCTCTTGAAGTGTGCGACAAACATCTCACGACAACGCAATTGACGATGGTAAACGGGTATCAATGGCCGTTTTTAATTTTTTTCAGAAAACACGCAACTTTTATCTGAGCCCGCAGGCTTGTGTAGCTTACACCTACGTTGATGGCAGGCAAGCTGATGGTATTATGCACAATTCCCTTTCCCGATCCAAACTCAATGCTCCGAAATCAATAGCTTTCCACTCTCAGGCGTGGCCATTTCTGCTGAGGATTTCGCGGCGTTGCTTTACTGCGCTGGCGAGCTCATCCAGAACTGAGACGGTATCGTCCCAGTGGATGCACGCGTCGGTGATGCTGACACCGTACTTCAAAGCACTGGGGCCCTCCTTGGGAACCTTCTGGTTGCCTGCAACTTATTAGCTTATGCTTCCATCATTCTCAGCGCCGCGACAAGTACTAACCCTCATTGATGTTACTCTCAATCATGACACCCATTACGGCGGTCTCGCCCTTGGAGATTTGGGCTGCGAGCTCGCTGGCGACCTTGGGCTGGTTCTTGTGGTTCTTCAAAGAGTTGCCGTGACTGCAGTCGACCATGAGCCTCTGGGGCAGGCCAGCCTTCTCCAGCGCCGCCTTGGCCTCGGCGATGCTCTTGGCGTCGTAGTTGGTACCCTTGGTGCCGCCTCTCAGGATAACGAAGCAGTCCTCATTGCCTACTGTGCCGACAATAGCGACGACACCGGGCTTGGTAACAGAGAGGAAGTGATGGGGATGTCTGACGGCGCCAATGGCGTCGATTGCGACTCCGAGCGAGCCATCGGTACCGTTCTTGAAGCCGACGGGGAAACTGAGACCGCTGGCCAACTCGCGGTGCAGCTGGCTCTCCGTGGTTCTCGCGCCGACGGCGCCAACGGACAGCAAATCAGCGAGGAACTGGGGCGAAATAGTATCCAGCATCTCGCTAGCAATGGGCATACCCTTGTCCGTAAGATCGACGAAGAGCTGTCTTGATAGGCGGAGACCCTTGTTGATCTTGAAGCTGTTGTCGATATCGGGGTCGTTAATCAGACCCTTCCATCCAACAGTTGTGCGCGGCTTCTCCAAGTAGGAGCGCATCACAATGAGCAGCTCATCCTTGTGCTTCTCCTTCGCGGCGAGAAGAAGGTCGCAGTACTCGAGAGCGGCCTTGGGGTCGTGGATCGAGCAAGGGCCAATGATGACCAGAAGTCTGCCCTTCTCGTCGGTGCCATTGACTACGGCTGCAGCCTCCTCACGGCCCTCGATAACGGTTTGCTTCGACTTGGGAGTTTGGGCAATCTCGTGCTGAAGCAGGTCGGGAGGAGTCAGAGGGTTGTAACCGCGAACTAGAAAGCCAATTAGCCTTGAAAGTTATTTTGAGGTTGCCAATTGAAAACATACTTCTCCAGTCTTCACTCTCGGCCTTGTTGCCAACGTTCTTGTTCTCGATGTAGAAGCTCTATGGTGGAAGGTGAGTCAGAGGTAGGCGCAGACAGGGTGTCGAGGGGCGCTGACTTACAGACATGGTGAATGCGGGGAAGGAAAGCAACAAATACGCTGGAGTGAAATGGTAAACTTGGGTGAAGCCGAGTCTGCAACAAAAGTCTCTGGAGGTAGACAAGTGAAAAGGAAGAAAATAAACTTTTCTCTCTGCTTGGAGGTTGTGTCGAGAAGAGAGTCACAGCAGCGCAAAGGTCGGAGCTTCGAGGAATATCAGCAATGAGCGAGGACTCATTCGTTCCCCCCCTGCCCTGTGCCTGTACCTGTCGCCCCGTCGCCCACACTTGCGACCCCCCGGTCGGCAGTACCCCGCCGAGGACCGCTCGAGAAAGAAAAAAGAAAAAAGTTGGTCGACGTGCAACTTGCCACCAGTGAGGGGCATCCTTGCTGTACTTTTTTCGCCGTCTTTGCTGTGACGTGCCAGTGTGGGACTGTCCGACTGCGCTGAGCATTAGACATGGCGCCACACACTGGGTCTCACCGCCTGGAGGGTATCCCCAAGAGCACCGGACACCGGACCTTTGCAGGCGATGCGAGGCCTGGAGGGGACGGCAGTCGGGTGAGCAACAGCATTGTGTGCCTTTGCAGGTGAAAGTGCAGGACAACTTGGGATGGCGACACACCTTCAATTCATCCCATGCATCTGACCTATCGGGGAGGCATACTAAAAGCACATGTCGTTTCATTCTCAATCTAACTCTAGCGGCACATTCTACTAGTAACATCTCAAGTCTACCCTTGCCGACCTCGCTGGCATTTTCGTTCAATCATAGGGACAACGTCTGCCTTACCCGGTACTAGACCAACGCAAGCACCAACACCCCGCCTATAAAGTCTTCTTAAGGGGCTTGTAAGCCTCCTTCTCCATACGTTCAACGCCGTTGAATCGCCCGTAAACGAACTTGAGAAAACTCGTGCTCAATGTCATCAACATGGCCGAGAAGGTGAACAACCCTACTCTCTGTGCCGTATTCAAGACTGCGAAGATTGGGTACGGGTAGCTGGGACACGTTAGCCTCCTAAGTCTTCAATTCGGACATCTCCGTGCTTACGCTCCGTTCTTGCTGAAGCACAACTCAACCCAGCCCCAGTACAAGAAAGCAAACACCATGCTAATAGTCATGGCTGAGTACGCGCGGATAGTCCATGGAGGGCTGAACAGGATCAAGTCGAGGGTCAGGACCACTGCCGGCACAAGGTGAAAGCCGACATCTGGAAGCCAGTGAAGCTCGAAACCCTCGGGAATCAAAAGACGCTCGTCGATTGACCGAATTCCCCAGTACAAGATGCTGATGAGGACTTCGAGGGGAGCGGCCGTAGTCGAGAGAGCGTTCTTGACGGCGAACAGTTGAGGGATCAGAGTAATGTCGGCTAGCAGACCAATCCCAAAGGTGGTTGCAGACAAAATCAAGCCGATGTTTGTGAGATGCTGATAGTTGCCTCCAAAGCCCATGGAGATCTCGTGCGTGAGAGTGCTCAAGAACTGGAACGAAGCAAAGAAGGAGCAAAGGCCGGCAACATGAAGCAAAAGCGACAGTGTTCTCGACGGGGACTCAAGCCGCTGCAATCGGTGACGAGCCATCTTGGTGAACTGGCAATTGGTGTTGATCTCGCGCGATTCGTGTTTGTTATGGTCTAAGTTGTTGGGTGAAGGGATGACAGGTCCAAGGCCACGATGGCGGGTCTTCTAAGAGATGAATGTAGAGGGATGGCGGCGGGCGCAAGGGAGGATCACGTCCGAGCCACTGGTTTTTGTAGGTATTTGAGACGAACTTTGTTAAGAGGAGAAGATTATCGAAGACATGATGCTCGAATCATTTTTAGACATTGTCCCGACGGAGCGTTTTGGGGCCAATCAAGGGACAATGGGAGGCATCGTCAAAGTGACGGGGCCGCGGCATGTTGCAACTTCCCGGCGCCTTCGGCAGGCTGGGCTTCGTCATGAGGTCACTGATGGAGCAGAGTCCGCCAGAGTGGCCCCTGATCTGAAGTCCCAGGCAGATCCACGCAGGCTGGGTCCCCCGAAGAGCCACCCTTGAAAGCCCAATCGGCATGTGCTCCAGGGGCAGCCAGGGCGGGCTAAGCTTCTTGTGGAGCCGGACAGAGTAACGGCGTCGAGGAAGCAACAAGGCTGCACTAGCTCACGCCAACGACAAGTCCGATTGGGCGCAAGGAAAGCTTCCCGAAAACCATCACCTAAGCTTCGTGCACTCAATCTTCAGCCTTACATCTTTTGAATCAGGAGCTCGGGACCCCGTCAGGCTACTTTCAGACGGCAGCTTTTCTCAGACATTGACCGAACTACACATCCACCGACACAATGGCTGACGAAGACTCCAAGTCAAACAAACGAACACACGAGGACTTCACGGGACAAGATGATGGTACGTGAAAATGTTGCGCGACGATGGGCTTCGGTACTGACAATGTTTCGTCAGACAGCTCCTCCGACGATGATATGGGTCCTCAGCTTCCCAGTGAGGCTCCGAAGAAGAAGCGCCGAGTCCTCCCATACGAAAAGCTTTACATCGCCGCCCTACCCAAGTCCTCTCGATACTCGAAGTCCCTGATGCACAAGGAGCAGCTATCCTTCGTGACCGTTACGCCCTTGACCGACTTCATCATAACTTCCTCGACCGACGGTGTTGTAAAGTTCTGGAAAAAGGTGGCAGAGGGCGTTGAGTTTGTCAAGGAGTTCAAGGCACACAATGGCGAGATTAAGTCAGTCTCGGTCAGCCAGGATGGGAGAAGCTTCGCGACAGCTGGAGAGGACGAGACCATCAAGATCTTTGATGTTATCACTTTCGATCTGCTAGCCATGTTAAAGCTCGCTTTTGTGCCTCGGTGCATCTGCTGGGTCCATAACAGGGGCGCTTCGCTACCGCTGCTCGCTGTCTCCGAGGACGCGAATTCAAACGTCCACATTTTCGACGGGAGGGGAGAAAGACAGGATCCCATTCACACGATCAAGTCGCTTCACAGAAGCCCTGTGTCGATAATGGCCTTCAACAGCGTCTACGACTGCGTGGTCTCGGCCGACGACAAGGGTATGTTGGAGTATTGGCGGCCAGGTGGGGACTACGAGAAGCCCGACAACGTCTTCGAGTTCAAGGCCTCTACGAATCTCTTCGAATTCAAGAAGGCAAAGTCAGTTCCCACGTCAATCACCATCTCACTGACAGGCAAACATTTCGCAACCTTCTCCCAACCCGACAGAAAAATCCGCATATTTGACTTCGCGTCGGGCAAACTTTACAGGACTTACGACGAGTCCCTGCAAGTCATTGAGGAGATGCAGCAAGCTGGATCTGGACTTCAGAAGCTGGATCCTGTTGAGTTCGGGCGCCGATTCGCGGTGGAGCGCGAGATTGACTCCCCAGCATACAAGCACAAGGCCAATGTAATTTTCGACGAATCTGGCAACTTCATCCTCTACGGCTCCATTGTTGGCGTCAAGGTGCTCAACACTTATACTAACCAAGTAGTCAAGGTATACGGCAAAGAAGAAAATTTCAGAGCCGTCAACTTGGCGATATACCAAGGTCAACCTCAGAAGAAGGGCATTACCACTGTAGAAATGGGTGCCTCGAGCAACCCCCTACTTCAGGAGTCAGAGTCGCGAGATCCGATTCTGATTGCCACAGGCGTGAACAAAGTGCGGTTTTACATGTTCACCAATGATGAGGACATATCCAAGTCGGTCAGAGATGTGCAGAACGAGAAGCCAACTATGCTTGGACAGAAGAAGGCTACCGAGGCTAAGAAGGCAGAGACTGGAACCGCAGCGGTGATCCACACGACATACGGCGACATCCATATTCGCCTCTTCCCTGACGCGGCACCGAAAGCCGTCGAGAACTTCGTCACTCACTCGAAGAAGGGATACTACAATAACACCATCTTCCACCGTGTTATTCGAAAATTCATGATCCAGTGTGGTGACCCCCTGGGCGATGGTACCGGCGGCGAGAGTATTTGGGGCAAAGAGTTCGAAGATGAATTCAGCAGCTTGAAGCACGACAAGCCATACACTGTCAGCATGGCTAATGCAGGCCCGAACACCAATGGCAGTCAGTTCTTTATCACCACAGAAAAGACGGTGAGTGGCGGCCCAGCCCCCTTAGATGTGCTTTCGCTAACGTGTGGGTGTGATGAAGCCTTGGCTGGATGGCAAGCATACAATCTTTGGACGTGCCACGCAGGGTCTGGACGTCATTCACAAAATCGAGAACGTCCGGACGTATAAGGAAAAGCCTGAGGAGGACATCAAGATCCTGAACATCGACATCGTGTAGCCGGTAGAGCGGCAAAACAGCAGAGAGCCGCCAGACGGAAACTAATGAGACGAGAGCCCAATGATCCCGCACGACCCCACGTAAGGGCTGAGTGAAAAAGCAATGCGACGATGCAGCATCCCCGCAAGTCCGATGAGGCGGCGGCTAGTCAAATGAGCTTCACGATGCAGCCGCATGCCGATTCAAGTCCACCCAACTGAGTGAGGCTGTTGCTGCTCACGTGGACGAAAGAGGCCAGCATTGGGCCGCTTACAATCCCGCAATCGGCGCTGCATCACCGCAACCCAATTCGGGCCTGATTTCGTCGGCCAATGACTTTACTTAAGGATGAGGTCGGGACGCAATGCTTCTGTTCTTTCGATTTCGCTGTCGCATGAAACTGACGTTGTTTTCAAAAACTCTCATCAATCCCAGTCCGTGGATATCGTGAAAAGTGAAGTCGGCTCACAATTCCACTGCAAGCAAGTTTGCATAGACACTCGCACCGCATCGCGTACCTGCGCTGCATATCTGCGTATCGTACCTACCGAGCCAATCATTCTCCCTCGACCCCGCCCTTTTGTCCCAGCTCGTCCAGACGGCGCCTTGAGACTGGGCATGAACCTCGGGTTGTAGGATGCCGCGCCCAAAGAAGCCGGGGGCTCCAGAACCGAAAAGGCGAAGTCGAAATGGATGTTGGTGAGTTCCGTGGAGAAGTGCAAGAACCTCCTTCAGGGCCCCATTTTCCTGTTGTGCCATGCCACTCACTCAGGTACAGGCCATGCAAAGGTCGCAAGGTAAAGTGCGGTGAGGAGCATCCAACATGTCTCAAGTAAGTGCGCATTTCTTTCGTCGAACACGCCTCCCGAAGACAGACTTCCTTGATCGGACCAACAGCACTGGCTGGAGAGAGGTTTGATCGTTTTGCGCCTAGCATAGTTCGAAATATCTCATTCCGCTCTGATGGCGAATTTCTAGTGGAAGCAGGATGCTGCAAATTTTGGGCAGACTCTATGAACGGCGTCCATGAACATGGAATCGAATCATTGTTTCTCCCGATCTTTGAGACCTTCTCTTCATTCAAACACCAGATACTTAACACAAAACTTTAAGCAAGATTCGACTAACAAACAGCAACTAGTTGTCAAAGGACAGGAGAGGTCTGTGATTATAGCGTCCGATTAAACTGGGAAGGTCGTCGGACGAAAAGGTCTTCATCGTTTGGGACCCCAAATCAGACCAGTCTACCATTGCAGGAGGCCACGGCTTCACAGATTCAACCACCATCGTTCACCCACGCATTCTCCGTCAATGCCGCATCCACCAATATACAACCAAAGCCGATAGTACAACGCATACAGACGGCTTCGAGTAGTATCGAGCCCACAAGGAGGAACCAAGAACCCACGGATATGCGTGTCTTTGGTATAAACGAAGCCGGAACGAGCTCCTTTTATTCCACACCACCACAAGAAATCCAAGCGAGTGTCCCATCGCCTATCATTCCCAAACATGTCGTTGACAGTTTTGGCTCTCTCCGTCGCAGTTCATCTGGGACTGTAAGCCCGTCATCACAGCGGCCCCACAAACGATCCAAATCGTTCGCCGAATCAAGTGACTCTGAGTTCCATCGCCAACCTAGCCTGCTAGCTTCTCCGGCATCACTTGTTGGAGCGAGTCCTCCAATATGTCGGATGCGTTCTAATACTGGGCTCAAAGTTCGGGTATTGTCTTTAACGCCAGTGTCCTCAGGAATGAATCCCGACGATGACGCAGCAGCTCCATTGCTTACCCTTCCGTCACCAGCGTCCCCTGACAACAGCAGATTATCGGTAGACTACCTATTATCGGGGTCCCCGGACTTAGCTCATCGACCAAAGAAGCACGCTCAATACAACTTCGGACCACCTCTGCCAGACCTACGGCCTAAAGAGGATGTATTGGAAGATGCCATCTTCTATGGCTATGACCTCGGGTTTCGAGACGCCGATATAAATCAGAACAACGATTTAGACGCTATCTCCAAGACAACCTCGAACGGTGAGAGTTCTATGACTGTCATGGGTGATGGACGTGGTGGCTTCCCGCCTCTTCAATTCAGTGGCATTGGTTTGCAGAGCAGTGTCCTACCTCGAATGACAGGGGGCTACTATGACAGGCCCATCTTGATTCGAATTCCTCGTAATCTCGAGCCCCTCCCTTTGAAGTAAGTAGCCAGTCGCGAGCCTTTTGGCGATTCTAACAATGGTAGGCTTCAAGACAACCCGATGAATCTCTTGGTAAGTCAATCCGTGGTCTGCGTGGCACCATGTTTGTTGAATAAACCTGCTAACTGAAATCAGTATTTTGTTCGTGACCTCAAATCTCGTCTCTGGAGGCTCAAACTGACTTTCATACAAAGCATCATTTTCTTAATCACACAGCCAAGAGTAAGATTTCTGCTCGGTGAATCAAGCACGGCGCTTACACATAAAGTTCTTGTTCCCTACGATGACCCAAGCTCCAATCCATTCCGCACAGTCCTACCGCAAATGGCCACTCGAAACGATCACCTCTTGAGTTTGCTTTTGGCATATTCAGGCAAGCAACATGTTCATGCTCTGGGGACTCCAAACTAATCCCTCAGTAGCGTCCCACCGGGCCAAGCTTCTTCGTCAAAGGGAACCCGAGATGAGAATCGCCCTTTGGGTCCAAGATATTTTCCCCGTCCTCCGCCTCGCGTTGGGTGACAGGGAACAAATCATCTCCAACACAAGCCTCGCAACCGCTATCATGCTTGCGTCTCTGGAGATCATATCCCCCACGGCATTCGGCTACGAAATTCCTTGGCAGACGCACTTGAACCTTGCTCGCGATCTCATGCGAAGACGTCTGGCCGATCTTCGAAGAACCTCTTACAGTCTTGAAGAGGACCGCGTCTGTTCCTTCTTATGGAGTTGGTTAGCCTACCTAGACGTCTTGGGAAGCCTCAGCGGCGGTACGGGTTCCGACCCATGTAGGTCATGGGTACTCGAGTACACAATGTATAACAATGCCGACGACCAGTATGAAATCGACTGTATCATGGGATTCACTACGAAATGCGTTCAGTTGCTTGCACAAGTATCAGAACTTGCCCGCCATTGCGATATGCAGCGCATCAGATCCGATGGCCAAGCACGACCGGAATGGATCCCAGACACTGACTGCGTCCGCCGTGCCCAGCAGCTTGAGCGAGAGTTGATGGAGAGCATGACGCAGCCGTCGCATCCTTGCAGACATGTGCAGAATGTCGAGGCTAGGGATAGGCAGGAAATGGTGCTGATGAACGAGGCCTTTCACTGGGCTGGGCTGGTCCACATACACCGGCGTGTGTTCGGCAAGTCGTCAGGCCACGCGGACGTCCAAGGACCTGTGCAGAGAATCTTCTCTTGCATGGAGTACGTCAGGGCCGGAGGCACCGCGGAGACGGGGTTTCTGTTTCCAATGTTCACCGCTGGGTGTAACACGCTTGACGAGGATCAGAGGTCGAGGATTCTTGAGAGGTTTAGGAGTGTGGAGGGCAACGGGATGACACAGGTGCGACGCCGTCCTCCACTTGCGTTCTACTTATTGAAAGCTAATGTCTCGGTATAGGTCCACAAGGCGAGACGACTGATGGAGAGAGTCTGGATGACAGGACAGCCATGGGAACCACTCTTGTGTACGGAGTTTATTGGCTGATTGATGAGTTCAGTTGTTGGTCTTTCTATCTTGTATGTTGCTGTCGGCTCTGTTGTCAAAGGGATTTTTCGATTGTCCAGGTCGAGGAGCATTGTAGGAGCATGGATGGGTCCTTAACGACCTAAATGAATCATGATACTACCATACACGGCTTGGGAGGGTATAAGAGATTAGGCAGGAGCATTGGAGATGCTTGATGAATTATGAAGAAACATCTTGGTTTTGCTGCAATTTGCGTTTACTATAATATTTTGTTGAAGAGCAGCTCCCCATAGAGGCTGAGTTGTTAATCTGTCTTCCCTTCTAGTTATATGTGTCTTGAATTGGATTGACGCCTCGTAGATACTAGAAAACAACGAATATTGAAGGGGCGTCTAAAAGCAAGAAAAAAGCGTGGGCACATGAAAGTCTGAGAGAGAGAAACAAAAGGCGAAGAGAACGACTTCAATGAGCAAAGGAAAAAGTCCAAAAAAATGAATGCTGGTCAATCGCGGACGGGAATTGAGCCCGACGTGGGGGTCGAACCCACAACCTTGAGATTAAGAGTCTCACGCTCTACCGATTGAGCTAGCCGGGCGATTGGAACCCAGCTGGTGTTGTTGAGGTCGGCGGACGATGGAGACAAGGATAGTGGAATTCCGTCGTCGGTGGTGGTGTCGTTGGTGGGAGAAGTGGAAAAGGGCAAGGGCACGGAGGAGCCGGTAAACTGGGGCCATCCTTCCCGGGCCTCGCCGGGGTACTCACTGGCAAGTAACCATGACTCAACTAGGTCGCCGCATCATTAAGACGAGAACCAGGTATAGGAACAAGAAACGAGGAGTTAAAAGAGTTATACAAGGGTTGTAATTACTGCCTATTCGCTAACGTATGTCCAAAGAGCCAATCCTCATGACATGTGGACGAAATGAAATGGACGTTTCCCATCTTCGTCTTGCCTTTCCCAACGCCTGAATGGTATATAGATCGACTCGTGTCGAATTGTAAGAAAAAGGGGACTTGTAAAAAAATCCAGCTCAGCTGATACAAAAGAAATATAAATAGTTTTCTTTTTTGGTGGCATGTCAATTTCATCCTCATCCGTCTCGTACATCATATCAATCTTTTCCCCCGTCTTATCTGGTGCCAAAGTTGAACTGGTGTGGTGGCGGGCTCTTTACCGGAGCATCCGCGTAGGCACCTGGGATAGGCACGGCCTCGTAGACGGGCTCGTCGGCAGCCATTGGCGCGTGGCCTTGAGGCGACTCTGAACGCTGTTGCTGCACTGGAGGGAAGTTCGGCTCGGGGCCGGTGGCAGAGGTCGGCGTGAAACCGGTCGCGTTGGTCTTTGGTGTCGCAGACGGGGCCTTCGTTGGGGGAGCCTGGAGCTTGAAGGTAGACTTGGGCTTGGCGAAGCTGGACTCGGGCTCGACGAATCGGGTTCCGGGAGTGAAGGGAGAGGCCTCCTCGATGCGGGACAGGTTCTCGAAGGTCGCCTCCGGGTGGCGAGGAGACATGGTGTACTGGGAGTAGAGACCGGGAGACTTGAGGCCCGGAGTGTTGGGGGCGGACTGGGAACGCAGCTGGGCGAGGTAGAGGTCGGAACGAGCACGGTCGCGCATGTCCATGGACTTGTGCAGGCGGCGCTTGGTGTAGTAGCGGTAGAAGACAATGCTGTAGAGGAGAACGCAGATGACGTCGATGACGATCTCGATGACCATGCAGATGAGGGCCCAGTTCTGGAGACGGCAGAGAAGAGCGTAGTCGACCTTCTCGCTGAAGACCTCGGCACGCTTGTTCTCCTTGCAACTCCATCCCCACATGTCCTTGCCTCCGCCGTTGTTGCGGCTTGACTGGAAGATACCGGCGGCAACAGCCCAGAGAACCATGGAGAGGATGAACCAGCCGATGGCGAAGAGCGTGTAGTATGTTGCGACTTTCTCGGCTCGGTGGTGGCCACCACGGCAGTATGCGATGAAGACTCCTAGGCAGACGGCGAGAGAGATGGAAGACACTATTTCGACCATTAGCACAAGACGTCGGGTTAAGAAGAGTTAACTACTGACTGGTAATCACAAGGACTTGAGGCCAGATGGCGGTGCCTTCAGCCCATGGTGGCAGACCACTCTGGGCGGGCAGCTTCCTGGTAGCGTTGAAGATCTGTAGGGTCGCGGCGATCATGGAAATGATGATCAAACTGCAGCTGAAGTTGACGCCACGGAGTGCAAACTTGGCCATGCGAACGCGTGTCTTGATTTTCTGTGAAGATGTTAGCCAAGATTAAGCTTTGGTAATGGGATAAGACGACATACGAGATCACGAGCCTGCTCCTTGTCGGTTGCAGCTTCACGCTTCTCGAGAATTTCCTCTTCTCTGAAGGTCGGGCTGAGGGGGTTATCAATCTTGCGTGCCGGTGTCCCTGGCACCCTCATGGCGCTCTTGAGTGGTGATCTCGGTGTCATGGGGACGGCGACGGACTCGCGGTTGCCGTTGTTGCTGATGTAGCCGAAGCCAATGTCGCCAGGCTGGGATTGAGGAACTTCTGATCTCGCGGGAGGGTCGGCAAATGGCGATCGAGTGCCTTCGACAGGGGAGTGTACTGATGTTGCTTCCGCGAAGCGAGGAGTACGAGGGGGCTTCAACGATGAGTCGGATGAAGACGAGTCTGTGGATGCTGATCGAGTCGGCGCGAGGTTTAGTGCGGCAGGCCGCCTCTTGTCATCTGGCAAAGATGTCAGATTGTTGCTGAACAGCATGTCTTTGTTAGAGACGTACCTTGAGGGTTCATGGTTGTGGAGGTTTTTGTCTGTGTCTCCAGAGACCACAGAGAACAAGAGAAACGAGTCTAGTATGTAGGAAAGGCAACCTAGAACTTGGGTCGCCAACAGGAAGGATGAACTCAGGACATGCGACAGATAGCGAAGATCAAAGCAGTAATGAGGCACGATAGGAATCAGATTTGGCGAGACCAGCTGTCGAAAGGGAGGAGAGAGAGGTCCAGCAGACCGGTTCCTTGGGGATGAAGGTGGTTTTGAATTGGCGCCGCCACAGAGTAGGTCCAAGGCAAGGCCTCTTTTACTAGGAGGGAGATCAGCATGGTGTAAGTGGGACGAAGCGGAATGGGGACTTCTACCTGCAGAGCGGAAGGGTAGGATGGCGCGAGTTGAGCAGGGCTCTGATAGGTGAACCGCCAGGTTCCAGGCCGGCGATTCGGTCGTGATGGAAATAGACGCCCACGAGAGTGGACGGGGTGGCGCCGAGCTGTGGTTGGCCCGATGCTCTGAGAGCTGTCGTGGAAACTCGCCTGTTCCTAGCTGGCGGGTACTAAATCGAGCGAGCTCGTTTTTGTGGACAGCGACTACTGGCACAATGAACGGGTAGTCTCTTTAGTTTCGAGAAGATTGCAGCAGGTGAGGGACGGTTCGACTTGTTAAGCAGAAAAGATGAGAGAGAGGAGCAGCCGGAGGAAGAGGCAAACCAAGGCGGAGGAACTTTCAATAAAGCCAAGGATTGCGCAGTTTTTCCAACTCGCTGGACGAATATAGAATATCCAAAGCAACCCCAAAAGGCATCTAGAGAGGGGAAAAGAGGCACGGGTGAGGAGAAGATGCACACTCGGTCATCTCTCAGAGTAACCGACCTCCCCTACCCAACTTGCAGCTTCTACCTGGGTGGCCATGTACGTACTCTAACTGTACACTGATACAGACAGCGAGAGAGACCTCGACAAAGCTCACTGGAGCTTGGCGGCAGTTGCAGTTGCATCCGCATGGTTCGACGATGGACATAAGGATGGTGATTGGACGTTGACGTTCAAATTGAGAGGAGGCAGGCCAGTAGCAACTGGGTGAACAACGATATGGTTGGACGGAGGATGGAAGAGGAGGCTTGCGGAACCCTTGCTCCTGATCACCCACGGGCGCCAACTCTTCCAAATCGACAAGTCGACCCTTGCTGCCGCCCGCCCCCCCTGTCCGTCAACTGCAGTCATGATAGGCTCAAATCGTACATGCGCTCCGGATGCCACATGCTTGCACGTTGGCGCAAGAACACCCGGCCAATCAGCGAGTAGAAGTGCGTGATGAATGTCCAGCCACATGCAGCTCCGGCGGTAAGCAAAAGTTGGGGGAAGAATTGGGTGAATGGCAAACACAGAATGGCCACAACGCCAGCGCGGCCGTTTTTGTCTCTTGCGACTCTGCTCCTCAGTCACTCGAGTCATCTCATTGCGCTGAACTTGCTCCAAGCGGTACAGAAAAGTGCTCTTCGCGGTGGGTCTACAGACCATCAATCAAGGTCTGCCCATCCTTGGCTCGCAGAGTAGGCAAAGCCGCAGAATGACAGCCCGGCGAGTTGGCGAGTGACTGTAGCGTGGTGGTGTTTGCATGCAGGCTGGCTGTAAGATACACAATGTGTGATATAGGTGTAGCCATGGATAGCATTTGCCCCTCCACGTCTACCACCCTCGACGGAGGCACCAAAATCTCACGTTGGCCATGCTGGGATTTGGGGTAACCGACAATCGCAGGCGCAGTTCGGGCATCCGAAAGCCTGGCGACACCATGTTTTCGAGCCTCGAAGACGATGTTGCGTGTGCTGGTGCGACTAATTGCGTCGAGCCTAGGTGTTTGGGGTCGAGTGCCGTCGATCCGTGAGACGCGCCGACAAAGAATAGAAATGGATATCACCACATCTTCCCACGCGTGTCGCCCTCCACCTGATGTTGAGAAATGAGCTAGGCGCCGTCCGGGCTATCTGTCAACCGTCAGCGATCGCCCTTGTACTGCAGATGGTGGTAGGCAGGTTTAAGGTAGGTAAGACTTGGCCCGTGTCCCGTGGTTTTCCATCTCGTCCGAACCTATTTTTAGGAATCTCGACCAATCAGAGAGACGTGATGGGAGACGAGCTGCTGTAGCCTTTTTCTTGTACATGGCCGATGGTGTGGTGTCTATCTGTTCGTCTAGAACTGTGCCGTGATCCCATGGCTAAACTTCAACGCCGGTTGACGGGATGGCTGACCTTCTAATGCAATATCATCCCGAACCTATCGTCTTTTGTCTCTTCTATTCTGGAAGGAGCAAAATGTTCCTTCGCCCCGGCACTCGTTTCAACTGTGTGATGTCCGTCGCTCACTGAGGCTAAGGGCTACACGCCGACTTCAGTGAGTGACAAATCTACGTAGTAATAAGAGCTGCTCGTTGAAATCACTGGCAATGATGTTTCCATGTCGCGTGAGCCTTTCTGGAAGCTTTCGAGGAGACTCAGAAGCATGGCTTTTCTTTGTTGGAAGGTGACTCAGGAAGCGAATAAAGTGGCACCATGCTCTGGGCCGTGGAATGGAGCATGCTAGTCGTTTGTGCCGTTCTGCGAGTACCAAGATGTATTGGATGGATCGTTGGCTCAATATGACGAAGTCGTCAATGTGAGGAGGATCCAAGCCTCAAAAGTCTCTCAAGGTGTTGATCAGAGACATCAGCCAAAGTTACTAAAAGTGCTGGTTGCTAACTGTGTCGAAATTGATTCAGAGACGACACGCTGGTGGAGAAATTGTGACGGGTTTGTCCCGCCTCGACATGGTGGTAGCTAGAGAAAAATATGCCTGCGATGAAGGAAGCACAAACATCGCCTGGCTCTTGAAGCTCCTCAGAAGACTCTAGTAATGCTATCATTCGCATCATACTGAGATGGGATTTAGAGTTGGGGAGAAGGGGTTCGCTCTTTGGGCATTCACCTCCTCCACATGAGAATTGCCCGGAGGGGCACCCTTATCTTATCAGTCCAGAACGGGACTAGTGTCGAGTCACCTCTTTCCACAACCTAGAATTTCAAGAGACGCTCATCGGCGAGGAAAAATCAACCGACCCGACGTCACGAAGCCCACGAACTGAAGCGTCATCTTTCCCCCGGTACCGTCGAAACCGTCAAGGCCAATACCTGAGTCAACAGGCGAACATAAAGTCCAAATTTTTCGACGCCCTCCCCCCGTCGCAAATCCCCTCGACAAAGCCGCCTCGACAAACTACCCCGCCATCAAAACCATCAAACTTGTCGCGACAATGTCTGCCAACGGCGATCCCAAGTACGACGATATCGACTCCGAGTCTGACTCTGGCGAGTCCGTGGAGGAGCAGACCGAGCTCAACGAGGAGAAGGGTCTCAAGCCTGCGCTCAAGAAGTCTTCGAACCCCGTTACCGCCGACACCACAGTCCAGCGCCCCCCTCTCCCCCCGCAAACCGACCCCAAAGACCTCGACGTCAAGACCCTCACCCCTCTGACCCCCGAGATCATCGCCCGCCAAGCAACAATCAACATCGGCACCATCGGTCACGTCGCTCACGGAAAGTCCACCGTCGTCAAGGCCATCTCCGGAGTTCAGACCGTCCGTTTCAAGAACGAGCTGATCCGTAACATTACCATCAAGCTTGGTTACGCCAACGCCAAGATCTACCAGTGCGACAACGCCGAGTGCCCTCGCCCGGGATGCTTCAGGAGTTACAAGAGTGAGAAGGAGGTCGACCCTCCCTGCGAGCGCGAAGGATGCAGCGGTACCTACAGATTACTGCGCCATGTCTCGTGAGTTGTCTACAGAAAGAGCTTACCCCGGAATCGTGAAATGCAAGGTGGCTAATAGTGCTCCACTTAGCTTCGTCGACTGCCCCGGTCACGACATTCTCATGAGCACCATGTTGTCAGGTGCCGCTGTCATGGACGCCGCTCTGCTGCTCATTGCCGGCAATGAAACCTGCCCCCAGCCCCAGACCTCCGAGCATTTGGCTGCTATTGAGATCATGAAGCTGGACAAGATCATTATCCTCCAGAACAAGGTCGACCTTATGCGCGAGGAGGCCGCTCAGCAACACTACCAGTCGATCTTGAAGTTCATCAGAGGAACCGTTGCCGGGAAGTCTCCCGTCATTCCCATCTCTGCCCAGCTGAAGTTCAACATCGATGCCGTCAACGAGGCCATCGTCAACACCATCCCCGTCCCGATTCGTGACTTCACCCAGGCTCCTCACATGATTGTCATTCGATCTTTCGACGTCAACAAGCCTGGTGCCGAGATCGACGATCTGAAGGGTGGTGTTGCTGGTGGTTCTATTCTGCACGGTGTCCTGAAGCTCGGCGACGAGATTGAGATCCGCCCCGGTATCGTCACGAGAGACGACAAGGGTGCCCTCAAGTGCACGCCCATTTTCAGCAGAATTGTCTCCCTCAACTCCGAGTTCAACGACCTCAAGTATGCCGTTCCAGGTGGTCTTATCGGTGTCGGTACCCGTATCGACCCCACCCTTTGCAGAGCCGATCGTCTGGTCGGTTTCGTCTTGGGTCTCAAGGGCCAGCTGCCCGAGATCTACAGCGAGATCGAGGTCAACTTCTACCTCCTGCGCCGTCTTCTCGGTGTCAGAACCGCCGACGGAAAGCAGGCCAAGGTCGCTAAGCTTACCAAGAACGAGGTCATCATGGTCAACATCGGCTCTACTTCCACTGGTGCCAAGGTTGCCGCTATCAAGAACGATGCCGCTAAGCTTGTCCTGACCAGCCCTGCTTGCACAAACATTGGCGAGAAGGTTGCCCTGTCTCGTCGTATCGAGAAGCATTGGCGTCTTATTGGCTGGGCCACCATTGCTGCGTAAGTCACCTCAGATCAGTGCTGAATGTGAAATTTGCATATACTAACCGTGAAATAGTGGTGTCACTCTTGAGCCCAGCACCGCCTAATGTCGGGCCGGACACTGAGTTTAAAAAAAATAAATCTCAAAAGCCCCTTCTTCAGCATCACAGGAGTCTAAAAAAGAATCAGTCTGGTAGAGCCGACGGGGAGTAGGGGGTTGACGGCATTTTTTGAGTACCAGGCGGGTAATGAATGCTTATGACAGGACACACCACCGCGTTAGACTTGATGTAGCCGGGGCATTAGGAGCTCTAGCAACTCGAGACGGCGTAGTGTCACGATTTCACAGGGAATTGCGAAAGGATACTAGACGGTGTATGCTGATAGATAGGCCCGGAAGATGAACAAGCCTCTTCTATTATTATTTCCTGACCTTGCGTGCATGCTTGACCAGGTTTTCTATCACGCCTTCGAAGGCTTCTCTGTCGCCTATCTTTTCGTCCGTCTTTTTCGTCCAGTATTCCAGCACCTCCTTGGCGGTGCCTTCCATTGCCTGTAGTTTCGCGACGTGGGCCTTGATCTCCTCGTCCGTCATGCCGTTCAAAGCCTCCTCCGTCGTGGTGCAGAGTTGCTTTGCGGACACAAGGTCCAGATCCGGTGCAGTCGGCGCGCCCTTTCTCTTGGCCACCGATGGTTTCCCTTTGGAGTCAACTGACGTTGTGGATGCGTTTGCTTCTTGCCGTACCCTCGATACTGAACGAGAGTCTAAGGAAGTCCTTGGTGAGCCTGACGAGTTGACCTGCAATGAAGGAAGTACAAGCTTCTTCTGCTTGGACGCAGGGAGAATCTCGTCCAAGTCAACTGGCACGCCGAGAGAAACGAGGAAAAGGCGCCTGATGCGAGAACGAATCCAGTCTGGCGGTGCGAGCGGTGGGGGAGCCACTAGTTGAGACCATAGCGATGCGCTCCGTGGGGTGAGGAAGATGGGGTTCTCCTTCGTTAATGGCGGGGGTGTTGAAACGTCAAGCGATTCTGGAGGGAAGAGTGTGTTGAGGTATGGGTCGACCGCTTGGAGAACGTCTTCGCTATCCAGGCCATCGAAGTCGGGTATAGACTGAGATATGGACGTTAGCTTCGTCGAGCGCGTACTTTATCTAGATACTTACGAATGGCAATGACGGAACTTGCGGCAAGGCCGGCGCAGGCGCAGGTGCTGAGGCAGGCGCATCGAATTCTGGTTGTTGGAATCCATCGTCAAAGTCGTCAAAGCCACCGTCCCCTTCCTCCCCCTCTTCGAAGTCGTCAAAATCGTCACCAAAGTCGTCGTCATCGCCATCGCCGTCTCCGTCTTCCCCATTGGGCGGCGGTGCGAGGCCAGCACTCGAAGGAGCAGAGGACAAGGTATTCTTTGACGGTTTTCGTCTCATACGAGGGGAGGCTGGAGGAGCGGAAAGCGCAGGTGATACAGGTGGGACATCTACGAAGGACGCCAGGTCAATGACGAATGCTCTTTAAATTTCAGGGATCTCTACATCGTACCGGTGTTGCTGCCATCATCCTTGATATCGTCCTCCGCCTTGAGGACCAAGTCGGCCGGTGCATCTGCCTTACGCTTCTCTGCGTATTCCTCTGAATGCGGCCCTGACGTGCCCGGCACCTCCTCGACAACCGTCTTGGGGATGGGTTGCCCGCCTGGTGATGGTGGCGGAACGGCATCTGAGGAGGTCTCTTCTTCGCTTTTGTTCTCCTGGATAGCAATCTCGTCCGGTTCAGCGTCGCCCTCCCTCATGCGGTAAGCCTCCGTGCCGGGAACCTCGCCATATGACGGCTCGTCGTCGACCTTCTCTACACGGGTCTTGGGAATAGGCGACGTTCCGGGGCTGAGAGGGGCGGACTGCGCATCGGAGAAGTGATCTTCTGAGTCGGACTCAGCTAATGAATTGTTAGACAAACTGGGACGATCATCGAGGGAGCGAGGGGTGACAAGGGGGGTCTTACCCAGATCGTGCGCACCAGGATCGCTGATGCTAGACCGCTTGGGCGGCGAAAGGGTCTCGTCTTCTTTCATGGTTTTGAGATGACGCCAATTGCGAGCTGTCAGGAAGTGATCTGGGAGGATGCAAACACTCAAGGCAGTTTGAGAGTTATCGATGATGAGGAATAGGAGTGGATGTGGAGGGGGTAACCTGTCGATTAGCGGATACGTCAGGTGTGGGCCAAAGGAGGGACGTTGCACGATGGTATCCCCAGGGTTAGAGTTCTAGCCCGCAACTCTTTGAGAACCAGAGGTGAAGAAGGGTTTCGGCCCCTGAGAAGACTAGAAAGAATAGACTTCTTGGGCAGGGAGGCAGGGCATCAAGCAGACCCGAAGATGGCCATCAGGACCTGCGCAGCTCTAGGTCAGCTCGCCAAGCATCACGTGGGGCTAGACCCGGCAAAATCGCGCTAGTACCTATCAGTGAGTCTGAAGGTCACCATAAGTCCCTGGTCCCGGCGCAGCAGGTACCAGTCCAGCCCAGCGCGCCAGTGCGCCAGTCGCGTGGAGGCAGACCTGAAAGGCTGGAGCATCACAAAAAAAAGCCGTCGGTCGTTGTCAACAGCTATCCTTCCTCCGACAAGCAGCCTTTATACCCCATCGCAATTTCCCTGCGCAGCTCGACACACGGCTACCGACTGCGATTAGACGGCGAGAATACTTTTGAGGGTTCGATTCGCAACCCAATGCGAAGATAGTGAACAGCAACAGTCCAAAACCCCTGACGAAAGCAACTTGCGACTTGCAGCCTGCGAGAAATCGTCAACCATCACCTAGACAACATCAACCGATCGACATACGAAGCTCCGACCACGATGTCCTTCAGCTTCGGAAACACAAGCGGCACGCCTACATCAGGCAGCGGCACGAACCCGACAACTTCTGCGCCAGCATCCGGAGGTCTTTTCGGCGGCGCGGCTACTGGAGGAGCGGGCAGTGGCTTTTCCTTTGGCAACTTGGGCAGCAACACGCCTGGAGGAGCTGCAGCAGGCTCAAGCAGCGGCACTCCTGCTGCCGGCGGAGGTCTCTTTGGTGCGAGCACCGGTCAGAAGCCCGCAGGCGGTGGCCTCTTCGGCAGCACGACACCAGCATCGACTGGAACACCGGCATCGACTGGCGGCGGTCTCTTTGGAGCGAAGCCTGCGGCAGGCGCATCCACCCCGGCCGCTTCTGGTGGTCTTTTCGGAAACACAAGCTCGAGCACACCCAGCACATCCGCTCCGGCGTCCGGAGGTCTTTTTGGCGGAGCCGCGAGCGGCACTCCCGCCGCTGCATCGGGAGGTCTCTTCGGAGGAGCTGCGGCGTCTAAACCAACCTCGAATCTCTTCGGCGGTGGAAACACGGCAAGCCCTGCTCCTGCCGCTGGCGGTCTCTTTGGACAGAATGCCTCATCAACTCCTTCATCAGCCCCTGCACCTGCGGCTGGAGGACTCTTCGGCGGTATGAAGCCTGCGGCATCTGGCACACCAACCGCCCCAGCAACAACAGCGACGCCCGCGAAGCCTGCCTTCTCCCTCGGAGGATCAACTACACCTGCTGGAGCTCCTCCGACTGGCGCGGCCAATCCTGCCGCTGGCGGTCTCTTCGGCGGTGCCGCGGCATCTGGCTCTGGCTCAGCTGCCCCCTCTCCTTTCGGTGCTGCGGCCGCGGCTAAGCCGGCAGAGAGCAACGCCGGCGGTCTCTTTGGCGGTGCTGCCCAGTCCAAGGCTGCTTCAACCGCACAGCCTGCAAGCACAGGAGGCCTTTTCGGTGGTGGAGCTCAGACAACACAAGCGCCTGCCGCCGGTGGTCTCTTTGGCGCCGCAAAACCAGCTGCCTCTCCTGCTCCAAGCGCTGGGGGTTTGTTCGGCCAAGCTGCTGCTACCACATCTGCTCAGCCCGCTTCCACAGCTACAGCAGCTCCTGCTGCCGGTGGGCTCTTTGGGGCCACTGCTGCCGCGCCCGCTGCTGCAGGTGGTCTCTTCGGCAACGCAGCTTCGACACCCGCAGCTTCAACAGCCCAGCCGGCGGCCAGCGCCGGAGGTTTGTTCGGTGCAAAGCCCGCTGCCACCACGGCCGCCACCCCGGCTGCTACGACTACTGCTGCCCCTTCATCTCTGTTCGGCGGCGCGTCGTCCGCCGCCGCCGCTCCCGCGTCCAAGCCTGCCGGTGGCCTCTTTGGAGCTGCCCCAGCTGGCACATCTCAGCCTGCTGCCGCCACCACTGCGGCAGCTACTCCCACAGCAACCACAACGTCGGCTACCGCTGCCACCCCTGCCGCCGCTGGCGGTCTCTTCGGCGCGAAGCCATCTACTCCCGCTGCTACTACGACCCAGACCAGCACCGCGCCCGCTGCAAGCACGGCCGCTGCCGGTACTTCAAATGCTACGCTTGGTGCCTCTACCACTGGCCCAACTTCCCAGCTGCCTCGCCTGAAGAACAAGTCCATGGACGACATCATCACTCGCTGGGCCTCAGACTTGTCCAAGTACCAGAAGGACTTCAAGCATTACGCCAACCAGGTCGCCGACTGGGACCTGGGACTCGTCGACAACGGCGAGAAGATCCAGAAGCTCTACCTCAACACATTTGAGGCTGAGAAGGCGAGCCACGAGATTGAGCGCCAACTGCAGGCTGTCGAGAGCCAGCAGGATGAGCTGGAGGAGTGGCTGAACCGCTACGAGACCGAGGTGAAGGAGATGTTCTCCAAGCAGATGGGTCAGGGCGAGACCCTTGCTGGACCTGATCAGGAGCGCGAGCGTACTTACAAGCTGGCCGAAAAGCTCACGCAAAACCTTGACGAGAAGAGCAGAGATCTGTCCAAGATGGTTAAGGAGATTAATGACATTTCCGGCACTCTGAGCAAGGGCACCAAGCCCGAGGATCCTGTAAGTTGCCCACGAAACTCGCTTAGACATGCAAACGCTAAAACCTTATAGCTGAGCCAGATTGTCCGTGTTCTCAACGGCCACCTGTCGCAGCTGCAGTGGATTGACACCAATGCTGCTTCTCTACAAGCCAAGGTGTCTGCTGCTCAGAAGGCAAACAATAACCTGGGAAGTCAATACGGAGCTCCGGAGACGGATGCGGCGGAGAGCTTCTACCGGTCTTACATGGGTCGGCGTTGAAAGGAACGGGATAGATCAATTAATTTTCACGGTAGCACACGAGAGATTGGGAATCAACACGAAGACTCCAAGACGGAGGGACGTTAATGGCTCAAGCCTGGACTTTTGAACTCGCTCGGATTGAGTGGGATGGTCGGCACGTGGGGCGGGTGCATCCCATATGTACATGTACACTAGCCTAGAATGTGGTGAATACCAGGTGTTGACAAGACAGCTTTCGATTTCGATGGTTTCGATGATTTGTTTGGGAAGCAGCTACAAAAATGCGCCAGTTCCTGTGGATATCAATCTTCATGCGTATGCGTCCATTCCGCGCTTTTCATTTATGTTTTTTGACCGGCTCTGTCGGGTACTATGGCAATGACGTTGCTTAGTTGTGTTCTCCACCCTGGTTCTTGGTGATCTCGTCGCTGTTGAAACCGATTATTAGTGGAGCTGAAGCTGGTGAGAAGACATGTTTTGCGAGACATACATGTGGTCAGAGAGCTGCTGCAGGTGAGCCTGCTGCTCGGCGAGCTTCTTCTTGAGCTCGAGGAGCTTCTCGCGCTCACGTTGGCGGATGGCCATATCCTCAGCGGCCTTCTCACGGCGCTGGAAAGCGTCACTGCGAATGATCAGCATTTGAGGAGCAGGAGAATACAAGAACGATCGGCGGCAGTTGCCAAACCGTCGTACGATGCAATTGAGCGAAAAAGAACTCACCCTTGACCACCCATCTTGGGAGGAGCTCCAGTGTCGCCCTCAGACATAGCTCTGCTGGTGGTGGTGAAGGCAGCTCTGGAAGCAAGGGTCACAGGGCGGACAGCGGCCTTGGTGGCAGCGACGCGAAGCATTTTGGCAGTGTTTGGAGGAGTGGTTTGGAAGAGGAGGATGTACAATAGCAAAACAATTGCAGTTGAGGTTTGGGTTGTCAAGATGGCCGATGACGATGGTGCTGGGACCTTCGCTTTTTGTGATAGGTTGGATTGTGGAGGTGGGTGGTCGGTGCTGACGAGCGCTAGAACGGAGGAAAGGGAGACCTCGGTGCTGGTTAAATGCCTATTGGCAGGAGGGACCGAATAGAGGGGAGCTGCGGCTGTGATTTTGTGTGGCTACGCTCCTCTTAGGCCCTTCTGCCTGCCATGATCTGATCCTTGGAACGAACCTGGCCTTGGAAGGCGTTGGAGGGCGAGGGAGCTTTCGGTCAACTTCTTTACCCGAGTACGGGAAGCGATACGTCATTTTTACTGTAGGTTGAGGTACTTTGCTAACAAGGAACCTGCCGGCATTTCTCGGCTTCGATGCTTGGTGGGCAGAATAATTGAATAAGACCATATTTACTCAGGCCACTGATATCGCCCGCTTCCGGCCAGCGGGAGGGCGCTTTGCCTTGTCCAGACTGTTGGGACTGGCAGCTGGACGAGTAAGCATTTCGTCCATGTACCAAGCCCGCATAATTCCGCGATAGATGGCGGCCTTGTCCCTGCAGCATGGACGACCACGACCAATCTGCTGACTGCCTTTCTGCTAGAATCCGTGCATGATTGATTGTACCTCATCAGGGCGCCTGTAAGAGTCATCAAGCTCGTGACTTTCTCTGCCCGGCTCGTGTGGTGATGGACGACAGACCACGAAACAGATTCGGATAGGCTAGCCGGTCTCCAGATCTACGACGTGCCGTCCGAGAGCAGTAGGGTAGCCTTGAGGCCATGTCATCTCCGGCAAGGCTGAATCTGGTTCACGACTGGGATTGTCCCTCTGGTAGCTTGAGATGGGAAAGATGGGGGAGATGGGTTGGGCGATCTGTCTCTTGCGAGATGGCGCGGCTGACGGGGTTTGTCGCGCACGAGTGGTGCGACGTTCTCCGTCTTTGTCTTGCAAGGTGAGGTGCCCTTAGTGGAGAGAGCGAGGCGGCTACTAGGCGCCGTATGTCGGCCGCGTGTGTAAGTGCTGCCTCGACGAGCATGTCTCCGCCTTGCTGAGCCTGGTTCTTATGATGATAGCTGCGATTTCGCTCCGTCTCGATGCATTGGAAATGTACAAAAAGGGCACATGGTTTCTGGTCTAGAACCCAGACAGGCAGGGGCCACCGAGGAAGCACCTAATTATGGTTCAAACGGGACTGCCGCTACCCAACTACAGGCAAGGCAGCGGGACTGCACAAGTGCCTGAACTCAAAGGACGACACCGATGGGCACGGAGGACGGCGATTGCATGAAAAGAAGAGACGAAGTGGGATGGGGAGACGGGAAGGAGGGGTTCGGCTTCGGTTTTTGGCATTTGGAGTCCCTGATATGCGTGTGGCATGCCACCTAGCAGACTGCAGAGCTGGAGAAGCCTGCGGTAGCTCACTGTCTGAGCATGCCTCCTTATCACCGTGGGCTAGGAGGAAGCATGAGCATCAACATCAGCATCAACGTGCTGGACAGTGACGCGAAGAAACGCCGCATGGCTTATCAATAAAGTCACGGCTGCAGCAAGAGACAGGTATTCGTACTTGCTGAGGTCATCAAGACTTGCTCCCGCTGGTGCACTTGAACTGCCTGGTACCAGGTATTGCTTGTCAGCCGGCGGCAGCAGAGGCATTCGTGCTGGAGTCCACCGACCAAGGCCGACGGCCCTGGGGAAGGGGCGCCGCGTGCTGGGGAAGTCGATCCACGCAAATGAAGAGCATCCGACGCCAGGTACCGCTTTGTACCTCTGCTGTCCCCCCACCGTGTGTCGCAGAGTCAGGTTCGCAATAAAGGGGGAAGGAAACCCAGCAATTGAACGCGAGGAAGGCACGATTCAAACAGACTTTGGCGGCGCTGAGGGGGAGATTCGATAGCACTTTCCCCTCCCCAGACCCTCAAAAGGCATACGCAGTCTCAGCCGCAGCGCACAGCCGCCACGCCTTATGCTACCTCGCGGTACCTTACCTCACCCGGGCTGGGCACCTACTATGTAGAGGTGAGGTAAGGACTGGAAGGCATCTCTGTCCAGTCAGTCCCGTCGTCTGGGCTGCTCTAGGCCGCCTAGGTACCTAAGGTAATTCACGTGAGCCAGCCATTCCAGGGCTAGCAGTACCAAAACACAAGGGCACCTGCTACAGTGGATGCGAAAAAGGGGATTGGCCAGCGTGCTTGCTCGTCCAAGCCAGCCAGTAAGGTACTGTCTAGTGAATGTCGGGCCCCCGTTCCCAGTCCAGTCCCAGCAGGTCCCGGTCCACGTCCAGTCCAGTCCCCAGCCAGTCCACCACGTCCAGTCGCTCCCAGGCCCAGTCACTCACTGGTCAGTCGCCGCCTTGTCTTGCCCGGTGCAGTGTCCAGAGCCCCTTCCTCAATTTCCATCCATCACCTTTTCGTCTCATCAACTTTCCCAACTTCAAAACTCTCGCACTACATTAGCAAACGTCAACACACCCGCCTCTTTTTACCCTTCGACGCATCCCCTTCCCCTGCTCCGGATCTTTCGAGTTTCGACACGGGATTTATCCATTGCCAACTATCCATCGTTCCACCAGAACATCCCCGCCGTCTTCAAAACATCGCACCAAGGTACGTGGTCCCCTCCCCCATCCCCCGTGCCCCCTCTGTCGTCATCGCATCCCTCGCCGCAATCTCCTTCCACCGATTCCCAACAACCGCCCTCGCCAAAGACCGGGCGACCGCTCCGAGACGATGCCGTCCATGCCTTGATCTCTTCCCGATTGAACGCCTCAACAAGTTCGCGCGCCCTATCAAGATCGGTCAGGCGCGAAACCCCACCAGGAGCGGGGAGCCTCATTCAAGTGATGAAGTCAGCGAGGCGCATACGCTGCCGTTCGCCCTATCCGTCCTCAATCGCCATGCCCGCCCTGCCACCCTCAATTTGCCTTCTTCGGCGCCTCTCGTATCGAGTTCTTCCTGATTCTCCATTTTGAGCGCACAATCACCGTCGCCGCCGCCTACACGTGCTAATCCGTCTCGACCGCCACAGATCATAACCGCCAAAATGGGTCACGAAGATGCTGTGTACTTGGCCAAGCTTGCTGAGCAGGCTGAGCGCTACGAGGGTACGTGGTTTCCGTTGCTCATGTCCGATGGATTATACTGATTAACGGGCTTCCAGAGATGGTCGAGAACATGAAGATCGTGGCCTCTGAGGACCGTGACCTGACCGTCGAGGAGCGCAACCTGCTCTCCGTTGCTTACAAGAACGTCATCGGCGCCCGCCGTGCCTCCTGGAGAATCGTCACCTCCATCGAGCAGAAGGAGGAGTCTAAGGGCAACTCTTCTCAGGTCGGTCTGATCAAGGAGTACCGTCAGAAGATCGAGGCCGAGCTCGCCAAGATCTGCGACGACATCCTTGACGTTCTCGACAAGCACCTCATTCCCTCCGCCAAGTCTGGCGAGTCCAAGGTTTTCTACCACAAGATGTAAGGATGGACGTCGAAATTGGCTATTCGAAAGCAATACTGATTACGTGAACAGGAAGGGTGACTACCACCGCTACCTCGCCGAGTTCGCCGTTGGTGATCGCCGCAAGGACTCCGCCGACAAGTCTCTCGAGGCCTACAAGGCTGCCACCGAGGTTGCCCAGACCGAGCTTCCCCCTACCCACCCCATCCGCCTTGGTCTCGCCCTCAACTTCTCCGTCTTCTACTACGAGATCCTTAACGCTCCCGACCAGGCCTGCCACCTGGCCAAGCAGGCTTTCGATGATGCCATTGCCGGTTAGTACTGCCGATATCTATGCTATGATTAGTTTGCTGACTATGCTATCAGAGTTGGACACTCTTAGCGAGGAGTCCTACAAGGACTCTACCCTCATCATGCAGCTGCTCCGTGACAACCTGGTAAGACAAGTCAACGTTTCTTTCAAGGATAGTCGCTAACTCCTTTTAGACCCTCTGGACCTCTTCTGAGGCTGAGCCCGCGGCGTCAGGCGCCGCTGAGGCCCCCGCTGCGGCCAAGGAGGAGGGTGCCGCCGAGGCACCGGCTGCTACCTCTGAGGAGCCCAAGGCTGAGTAAGGGGTTGGTTTCGTAGCATTCATTCTCTGCAAACCTGCGTTATTCGCCGGAATTTGGGTGGACTGGTGTCTACGGAGTGTGGACTGGAGATTTCATTTTGCGAAAGGCATCGTTTAGGCAATACACAAGAATCGTGAGGGGTTGATTTTTCCTACGGGACTAGCTGAGGCTAAAGAAGAGCATTTTGGAGGTCGTACCCAGGTTTGCTTTCTTAGACTCTAACGCAAGACCGTCTGGACAACAACAAAAAAAGACTAAAATTGCTTTCAAAAAAGCACACCCGGCAACTTTTGAACATTGGCAGAATGTGATGCTTGCACTGTAGAGATTGACCACCAGACTTTGACACGGCAACTCACTTATCTGCAGCTAGGGCTCGATTTGTGTTTATAATTCATCTCACTCATCCACTATAGCGAAATGGACCTTCATCCACAGACTGCAATCTTGACATCCAACAAGCAGTTCCCCGTTCTCACCCGCCTCCTCCAGATCTCCCTCCGTGAATAAGAAGCCTTGGGAGTTCCCGCACCTACAGCTGCGGTACCAACACTTCTGTCCTTCGTCGAATTCCAAATCGTCAAGATCCACGTTCTCGATACCCGTCTGGAACGCCTCCTCCCGCTTTAAGCCTTGGTTGTTGGGTGCGAGATCGAGAGACCTGTCATAGTCCGCCTTGAGCTTGGTATCCGAAAGGACCTTGTATGCCGTGGAAATTTGATCAATTGTCAAGACGTCAGATTTCGCTGGCGACCTTGAGCTTGTCGAATCTGAGGCTGTAGATCCGTCACCCTTTAGTTGTGGGTATTTATCCGGGTGGTTCTGGAGAAGAGCCCTGTGGTAGGCCCGCTTGATGACTTGTTGCGACTGATCTGCCGCTTGTTCCTGCAGCAGCTTGCGGGTGAGACCGAGGACTGTGTAGTGGGTGTGGCCGCCCGGTGCTGCAGGGGAGGAACTCATGTTGAGCGTGGAAGGGGGGTGAAAATCCCCTTGTAGTTGATGCTGGGCGATTTTGTAAGTGAAATTTTCTGGCGAATTGGAGCTTGAGGAGACACTGATTATGGGTCACGTGAGGGGAGACGACTGGATGGCCCAACTCAACTTGTGCATCCAAAGTGATCATGGGAGAAATGATGCGCAATGCAAAATCCAGTGAGGTGCTGAAGACACTTGTCCAAAGTCACTGTGAATGTCACAGAAACGCCGTCATGGGAGTGGCAGGTATGGTCGGTGTGAGCGACGAGTCGCAGCATGACATGGGCGAACAGCTTTGGGAGTTGTTTGATTCGTTTCTTGTACATGATAATACATGGTATATGTACAGCGTCTAAAGCCATTGACGCCTCATAAGTTGAACAGGGAAAGAAATCGTTTATTTGGGGAACCTCTTCCAGTTTCTCTTTCCAACCTATGCACCTCGTCAGTATACATCCTCCGAAAACACCACGCGTAAATAGTCGACTTACCTTCTTCCATTCCTTGATAAGCTTGGGCATCGCCAACATAGCCTCTCTCCTCTTCTCCATCCTGAAGCACTTGGTCAGTTGCTGGTCCTCCAAGACGACGTGGCATGACAACATACCTGGGCATGACCATTCTCTCGTGAATCTTTCCCTTGACCTTTTGTCCCACACCCGTACCCTTGACCCTCAGACCAAACTCGACACGCTTGGCGATGCGAGCCTCCGTACCCTTGACCGTTGGTGGCAGAAGCTCCTCGACGCCATTTTGGCGTGCGAGCTTGACGAGCTCGGCTTGTCGACGCAACGAGTAGACAGGGTCATGCCACTTGCCGGTATCGGGGTGCTTGTGGGCGGCGAACGGATTCGGCGTGAGCTCTTGGAAGCCAGTCTTGGGAGCGCCGGCGGGAGCAATAGAGGCGGGTGGCCAGCGAGCGAAGAAGCGCTGTAGTTGCTCCGGCAAGGCCTTGGCCAGCGCGATGTGCTTTTGCGCTGACATTTTTTTTTCCGTGGTTTCCTCCTCTTAGGTGACCTCCTTTGGTCGATTGAACGGGTATGCCGTACAATTGAACACCCTCCCTGGACGTCGAGAGAATCGTGTGCCGTTCGCAGGTTCGGGGAGGAATTGGAGGGGTTTCGCTGGTCGACACGGGCTTCTCTGTACGATTCGATGCCGGCGACGATGTTGGCTGCGAGACAAATTTGGCCAGCCTTATCCACCCCTGTACATGCAGGTGCAGGGGAGGGAAGCTCGGTGCGAGAGAGGGGCAAGTATTGCCGATCGCGACGCTATATGATTGGCCTCTTCAACTGTGGCAGCTAAACTGTGGCGCGTGTTGCAGCCTTCTCCATCTGAGGAATGATATCCGTCAGCACGATATTTGTCGCCGCAACTGCAGCGGCAGTTTCAATCATCACCCGGCGGAATTTGATAACTTCCTTCGTGTATTACACAACGGAAGGAGGCCACAGGCTAAAGCGACGTGTGGAAGCTTTTCATGAGTGACCTAGATGGCCCGTGCACCCATTAGACGCGCCACGATAGATTGTGTAAGGCTACAACCCAGCCGACCTTCGCCGTCTTTAAACACCAACCCATCATTACCATCAGGCCCAAGATGAGCAAACGCGCCCCTTTAGATTTGGAGGAGATCCTCCGTCAAAAGAAGGCCGCAGCCGCCGAGGCAGCGAAGCCTCGTTTCATCCCAAAAAAAGAGCGCGAGAGACGGGCGGCGGAAAAGGCAGCAGCAGAGCAAGAGGAGCAAAAGCGGAAAGCCGAAGCTGAGGCGCGCGAAAAGGCCGAACGGGAGGCAAAGTGGCTGGCAAAGGCGAACACCAGTAACGGAAGAAATGGCACGAATGTCACGAACGGCACAAACGGCACAAATGGCATCGGCGCCGGCGATCGAGTCCCAACCGGCCCAAAGGCTATGAACCAGCACGACGATGGCGGACGACGACGAGGACGGGACAAGCCCGAACCGAAAAAGGCGACAACGAAAGACGGAAAAGAGAAGAAATCAGCCGACACGATCGAAGCAGAGCTACTGCGCAACCGATATCTCGGCCCGGAAGTCAATAAGGAGTCGAAATTTTCCGTCAAGAAGAAGCGGAAGAGAGCAGCCGAGTTCAAGTTCGATTGGGACGCCGAGGAAGACACCACGCGAGACGATGATCCTTTATACGAGTCAAGCTTGGCGCTCAAGTCATACACTTTTGGCAGTCTCGCAGGCGAGTTCAACGCAGAGGCTGAAAGTATTGCACTTGCCAGAGCCAAAAGGATTGAGCAGACGGACGCTGAGAACGGCAAGAGACGCGCTCAGGAGTTTATGGACGACTTTTACAAGGCTCGAGACCGAGCGAAGGAGCGCGCAGATCGTACAGGTCTTACGAAGCACTGGTCCAAGAAGGCCCTCGACGAGATGCGCGAGCGAGACTGGAGAATTTTCAAGGAGGATTTCGGCATCGCAACGAAGGGCGGTCTCATCCCCAACCCGATGCGCAGCTGGCAAGAGTCTGGTCTACCCCGACGATTGCTCAATATCATCGATCAAGTTGGGTACACGGAGCCGTCGCCCATTCAGCGAGCCGCCATCCCCATCGCGCTGCAAGCCAGAGATCTTATCGGTGTTGCCGTCACAGGTTCCGGTAAAACTGCTGCGTTCTTGCTACCGCTGCTTGTCTACATCTCAGACTTACCGCCACTCACCGAGGTCAACCGCAACGACGGCCCCTACGCACTCATTCTGGCACCGACGCGTGAACTGGTTCAGCAGATCGAGACCGAGGCGAAGAAGTTCGCCGGCCCTCTTGGTTTCAGAGTAGTCAGTATCGTCGGTGGTCACTCTCTGGAAGAACAGGCATTCGCGCTGCGCAACGGTGCTGAGATCATTGTCGCAACCCCCGGTCGTTTGGTAGACTGCATCGAGCGACGCCTCTTGGTCCTCTCGCAGTGCTGCTACATCATCATGGATGAAGCTGATCGCATGATCGATTTGGGTTTTGAGGAGTCGGTCAATAAGATTCTCGATGCCTTGCCCGTGACGAACGAGAAGCCAGACACCGAAGAAGCAGAGAATGCAGCTATTATGAAGAGGTATCTTGGTGGAAAGGACCGGTACAGACAGACAATGATGTACACGGCCACGATGCCACCGCTCGTTGAGAAAATCGCGAAAAAGTACCTACGGCGACCAGCAATTGTCACAATCGGTAACGCTGGCGAGGCTGTTGACACGGTCGAGCAGCGGGTGGAGTTTGTATCCGGCGAGGACAAGCGCAAGAAGCGTTTGCAGGAAATCCTTGCGTCCAACGAGTATGCTCCACCCATCATCGTATTCGTCAACATCAAGCGCAATTGCGACGCTGTTGCGAGAGACGTCAAACATATGGGTTACTCGGCGGTCACCCTTCACGGAAGCAAGACCCAGGAACAGAGAGAGGCAGCCCTTGCTTCCGTCCGAGCTGGTCAGACAGATGTTCTTGTCGCCACAGACTTGGCTGGAAGAGGTATCGATGTGCCGGACGTGTCCCTGGTCATCAACTTCAACATGCCGTCAAGCATCGAGGCGTACACCCATCGTATCGGTCGTACGGGTCGTGCGGGCAAGAGCGGTGTCGCCATTACGTTCCTCGGCAACGAAGATACCGATCTGTACTACGACCTTAAGCAGATGCTCTCCAAGAGTTCACTTTCCAGGGTACCGGAGGAGCTTCGTCGGCATGAAGCCGCACAGTCGAGACCTGTCAAGAGACATAAAATGGCCTAGCGGGGCCTGTAGACTAGGTTGTTATGAATAATGGAATGGCGTACTCGGAACGGGGTTTCTCGGGAGGGCAGCCGTTGTGTCCTGTAGTCCAAAAAAGTAATACCGGTGCACACATACCATGTTTCGTTCTTGTCGCCGGGTTTCTGTATCGCCTCTCTTCAACCAGTATATCATCATCTTCTCCATCGCACGTTTTGCTTTCAAAAAACGTTCCAACAAAAGGTTCTGGTGAATAATCTTCAGCGGGAAACAGTTCAGATCGGAACAACCCCATTCTTGGGACGGGGTCGGGGGTCGCTTGCGCACTTTTGAAGCCCACAAGCCACGGGCGCACTGAAACCATCGAACTGCAGTACCACCCAAATAGATGACGACCCCACCACACGATGGACCTCCTGCCGCGATTATCGTGATAATCTACTATGTCCGAGCCAAAAGCGTTCGGCGCCTCGGGGCTGGTGGCGGGGCAGATGCTGCTCCCTGCCAAAGTGTGCCTGACAGCGGGGAAGGATTCGGGGTTTCCAAGGCTAGCTCCCGCCGACCAAGCCAAGTCAACCCCACCACGGGTCACTTTTTTCTCGGTCTGATGTCAGGGCCCCGGGGCGTTCTGGGCCTGGGCTGCGCGAGGCGCCTGCAACTTGGTTGCTGCAAAAGAGTGCGGAATCAGTTTGAACCCAACCTGGAAGACTTTGAAGAGAAAAATTTTGACATCTTCCCTTCCCTTGTTCCGCATCCACGGAGCCCGAAGGCTACTGGGTACGGTAGTGCTAGCTTCACAGTTTCCTGCTTCTGCTGCGCCTAAATACTCCACAATTTTCGGATCTTCACCGTTTCCCATTTCACATGGTTTTTGTATAAGTATTAACCCTGAGGGGTCGCCGGCCAAGTCATGATTTGAGAGGGTTGGCAATTACTCCCCCGTTCCCCTCTCTCTCCGTCCCTCTCTGCTCTTGGGCTGCCTCCTCGTCCTTTTCGACCTCCACGTGTTAGCGCGCGCGGTTTTTTGTCCTTCTTGTTGAACAGAGGAGGCACTTTGTCACTGCTGGCTAGCTCGATCGACACTGTGATCCGGAGCCACTAAGCCCGCCCCGGTATCGGTAGACTTTTCTCATTCGCCCAGCCTGCGACAGCAAAGAAAAACCGACAAGAAAAAACGGTCTCTTGGGAACGCGCTCCGAGTGACCGACACTCTGTACGGCTACTTTTCGCAGTTGCCCCGCGCCCACCGTCCTATGGTCATCCCACCTCCCTGATTCAACTCAGCACGAGGGGGAGCAGTGAGGACAGTGCTGAATAGACTTCTATTCATCCGTCCTGCACTTGCTCCTTTCTGGCGCATCTGTTACATTTTGCTGCCTGCGGCCGCAGCAGCTGCTGAGCGATATTGCGTCTTGTGCGGCAAAACGGCCAACAAGCACCAAGCAAACATATAGGATCAGCCAGCAAACAACCAATCCATCCCCCTCTTTTCCACCGACCTTTGCTGCGGCATTACTGCGAGGGGTTTTGGCCCTTCGTCCGCCTTCTGTCCTACCTACGACGACGACATAAAGCAGAGGTAGATTGTGCGACATAACTGTTCCAGCTATCAACATGATGGACACTGCAGGCGCCGCCATGGACATCCCCCACCATGATGCTCCGGTCTCGTTGAAGAAGAGCCGCACCGCGGCGTTGGAGGCGATTGAGGACATTGTATACGGATCTGTAAGTCGCGCGCGCCCCGTCCCTAAAGCTGTAGAGGAGTGTTCTAACGAGGTCATTTCGCACAGGTCGCCGGCGTAGTCGGCAAATACATCGAATACCCCTTCGACACGGTCAAGGTTCGACTCCAATCCCAGCCCGACAACCAGCCCCTCCGCTACAAGGGCCCGCTTGACTGCTTCCGCCAGTCTATCAAGGCCGAGGGTGTCCTCGGTCTTTACCGCGGCATCAGCGCCCCGCTCGTCGGCGCCGCTCTTGAGAACAGCAGCTTGTTCTTCTTCGAACGCATCGGTCGCGCCGCGGTCTACTCTTCCGGCATAACACCCCAAGGCCAAGAGCTTTCTCTGGGCGCGCTCTGGTTCACAGGCGCCTTCTCCGGCTTCTTCACATCCTACGTCCTGACACCGGTCGAGCTCGTCAAGTGCAAGATCCAGGCGCCCGCGAGGGCAGACGGCTCCGCGCCGCCACAGCTGCGCCCGCTGGCCGTCGTGCGCGATATCTACCGACACAATGGCATCAAGGGTTT